AATTATATCGCTGATACTCCACTGCGTGGCGCACAGTTTCGTTGCGTGGCAGCGAGCGGAACACAAATGTGATGATCGATAGCAGCACAATGCTGTTGTTACTGCAAATACACCAGCAAGTTAAAATATCAACACTACTACTGCTGAACCCCCTGCTGTGACTCAAGCAGTCGAAAACGAGAAATGTAAGTTTTGTACCCAATATTCAAGGATAACAATTCTCCGAGCTCATCTTCTGAAGACGTGTACATCAACGATGACTCGTTAATCACGACTTCAGCCACTGTTGACCAGCAGACTTCTGCTGTAAGATCACAGAGAGGTACCTCATCACGATTTGAAACCTTACTCAGTGATCCATCTGCCTCCCGTCAGCGTCGTCTTCCAGCCTGGAAGTTCCAGCATTTCCACTAAAAATCAGCATGCTACAGTATCGGCACGCCTGCCGCCAGTACTGGATGTTACAATGTATTTTCCACAACGACGCGACTAAATATCTTCCACGTAGCTCACTCTGGAAGTCCTACAAGTCAAGTATCCATAACCAGGAAGAAGGTCGACCTTACGTCCCCCCAACATGAACAAAGAATCATGAAAAAAAATGTGCAGATCGGAAGAAGAGAGGAAGAGCATGTTCAACACGCTCAAATCATCGAATACCAATGCATCTACACGGAAAGCTGAAAAGCTTTTGGAGCTGACAAGCAGCGACTTCAGGAAGGAAAACAGATTCGTGACAATCAACATCGACATGAAGCTGAGACTGAAAAGCGCGCGAGGATCCAGACTCAACATGAACGCGATGCAGCGCGTACCCGCACCATAACACCCGTCAATAGTTCAGATCCGTTAGAATGGGAATACCCGAAATCCAAGCCCACCCTACGAAACTGGTGGGATCGTCGACGAACTCAACCATCAGTTTTGCATTTTTTTCTGCTGTGAGAAATGTTAATCAAGTATTCATATTACAGTACGCGAAACCAGTATTGACGTGGAGATGGCTAAAATGAAGAACAAACTTCACTAAATGAGCCCAAACTACTTCTTTAAACCAAGCTATGAATTCATGGGTCAGTACACTCCGTTTCATTTTACCGTAAGCTCATAAAGCTTCATATCTGTATGTGTACTCCATAAATATATCCTCAACATCATGCATCAGGCTTTCTATGCATCTTCTACCAGAATGATACGAGAGTATGATATTCAATCTATCCGGATACTCCATATAATTTAGTTTATCGAAAAACTGTTATAAGAAATATTTCTTTTTTGTTCTGTTATCGTTGATACGCCCAATTTTCCAAGTTACTAATTTGTTGTATGCGGAGGCTAGCAACATCAGGTATAAAAATATTAGA